AGCACGCGCACAGAAAGCGGCTGTCACACGGCATGTGAGTAGTACAAAACTAAGTTCTCTTTCATGTCTTATTGAGCTTAAACTCAATAAGCTTGGTTGTGTCTGTGAAGGTAAACAGCTGGGAAAGAAATTGCATGTTTATATCAGAGCTGTGTGGCAGCAGCGTAATATACAGTAAATGAATCAATAAATCCACTGCTCTGTTGTCTCCTCTGAGGTTGGGACTCTAAACAGCGTTCTGTGTGTGTTCAGTAAGTGTGCCCCGCTCTCACCCAGCACCAGACCGTCCCGCGGCATCTCCCAGGCCAGGTCATAGGGCAGGTGAATGGGGTCGACGTAGATGTACTCGTGTCCATCCAAACTGACCGATTCGATCACCTTCCACCTGATTTCATAACGCGGCTTCTGCAGGGAAAACAACGTGGAGTTCCAGTCCAGTCCAGTAATGTTAAATCTAAATGCTAAGTCTCAGACAGACAGACCGAATGTGAAGTCACTGACCTTCCTCCACACAGCGATGAGGATGATGATGGAGATAATGGCGATGACCACCAGCGCTAAGACTGCGGCCAGAATGGCCACCTGAGAAAACAACGCTGGAGAGAAAACACAGCTTTTATCAACTCAAAATCTTCATTAAAACACATTAAATACTGATTCTCACATCTTAAGTGTCATTTTCAACCACCTTAATAAAGAAACACTTTTTTTCACCATCCAGTCAAATACTAACAGATACCAGGTACATTCTTAAATTAAAAGAATGAAAAAATGTATTATTTACCTATTTAAATTAAGTGAATTTTGGATGTATTTTCAGTCATATAGAGGCATTAAATCATCCTCATTATATCATGACGGTTTATGGTTTATCACCGATGTCCTGTGTTATTTCTTTCTCACTGAATATCCAATTTACTCTCAAATATGTCAAAATTGAAAAGTAAAATGGGATAAAACTAAAAGGTAAAATGTTTAAGGTGACTTAAAATCAAGACAACTAGGCTCCATATCATATATAGTGTCAATAAAAAGTTCCTGTTATTAATAGAAATTAACAATATTAATACAAACAAAACCTCAATGAATAAACTATAAAATAATTAAGGATGCTTAAAGGGGCACCAAGTAATTTTTTCAATAAAAAGAAAAAAATACATTTATTTATTATGATATTATTTTTGTTTAAATTAAACTACATTTTTGTATTTTCAATTAATGTACTTGTCAGATTTTACATGTCCTTAGTCAGTTATATTATAAATAAAGTAAAATAAATGAAATAAAATATAAAATAAAAATAAATACAATTAAATTTAATAAAATTTGTGTGTGTATTGTCTATCTCATGTGCTATAAATATATCACTTTTATAGCATATCACTTTTATGCTATAAATAATAAATAAAAATAAAAATAAACATTTTTACATTTTCTATCACTTGTCACATAGAGACATGTTTCACTATCCAATCAATCAATAAATGGGAAACAAGTATTTTTCAAATAAAAATAAAAAATAAATTGATGTTACGTTTTTAAATTAAATTAAATTAAATTAAAAATAAAATTTGTGTGTGTATTTCCAATCACTTGTCACATAGAGAAACAGAGACTGGATAGGTTTCATTATTTAATCATGTCCAGTGCTACTTTTTTTTTCTCAATGAATATCCATTTCACATTCAAATATGTAAAGTTATTAAAGTAAATTGGGACAAGACAGAAGGCTCATGTTGACTTTAAATCAAGGCGGCCCGGCTCATATATAAGATTGTGGCCTCATATACAGAGTCAATAAGAAGCGTTTCCCGCAGCTTTGGTAGGTGTTTGTGTTTCTGGTTTTTCTCACGGCTGAACCAGTATCAGGTTCTCAATGAGCTCAACGGGTTTCACGCCGCTAATGAAAGCAGTCCTGGAGGATCATGGCATTACAGCCAAAGTCACTCTGTGTTTGATCTCCACGGGTGCTGCTCCATTCAGCAGATCCTCATTTCACACATTCACAAAGAGGCTTAACACCCTCCCGACACA